TTGAACATAATGGACACCATGTCCATCATGTAACCCAAGTATTGTCCTTCTCTTAACACCTCTAGACTTGAGAAACAACTAAATGACAACATCCGGTGACATATGTCTTAATACACTCTCGAGTCACTATTTAACCATCAAATACATCGCTTTGAGGACGAATTTTTTATTTATGACATGATTCAACAACAAGTGGATGTAAAATATTCATCCATCATCGTATTCTATCCAACATGCAAAACATAATTTAGAGCTTGTTCGTGTCTTGTCGAGAAAAATTCGACGTGGATCCAAGGAGCACGAGAAACTTAATAATTTTGTCTTTCTAAATTTATATTAAGAGAATTTTCATCCATGAAGTATTTATAAAATGATGGGCTTGGACCTAAGTTAGCCCATTCTTCATTTCTTAGTGTAGTAACCATCTAGACCTGAGTGCACAAAAAGGCCAACTATGGCTCAAACTAGTTGGTCACTTGGTCCTGGTCCAATACAGAGTCAACTTACAGGCCCAATATGATGAAGTAGATTATACTCCCATGGACAGTATTGAAAAAAGAGTACATCCTAGTCCAGTATTGCGTACAAAACAAGCCTCACCCATTCGATTCTAATAAATAATAACACATGCATTACGGGAGTGTAAAAATATTTGATATTCAAGTAAAGCGAGAAATATTTTGTCCAAACATTAAGAAACGTTATCATGCGAAGAATAAGAACCTCTAGACTCAAGGTCCATCAATAGAGACTCTCATTTAACGAATTAACTACTTCAAGAACCAGTTTAAACCGCGACCACTTCCCTTGCAAAGGCCACATGACGCATTTAAATGACTATTCAGGCAAGGAGCCACACAAAAGCACGAATTTACTCCCTTAATTGCTCTGTTAAACTACTTCATTTAGCAATTGAATCAATTACCTTTCTTGCAAATGAGGGTAAGCAGAAAGCTGCAGAGTGGATCTGAGAAGAGTAGAAAGCAAAACTTAATTGAAGCAAATAACAAGAGGAATGACAAAAGAGAAACCATAAGATGTAACGCTATACCTCGGAGTTGTAGAACTTCAAGGGTCCATTTGTTTTGATATGACTATCATCGGCATCTATTGGGTT